TGCAGTGCTGATTTATCGCATGAAGCTAATCTGAAGTGCAAAACACACCGGCACGGTTTGAATCGGTGGGAAAACGGAAAGCGAACGCTTCTGTGCGCCCTTCTGCAGAACAAATGTAGTTCGAGGAGTGACGTTATCAGTTGACGGCGAATTCGACTTTACTTCCACGCCAGTGTCGCCGTGAGTTGTTGATTGCATCCAAGAAATGACCTGAAAACTGAAAAATGACTTCCAAGGTTCAGAAGCCTAGCCGAATAATTCGACGACAAAAACACATGAATGGCATCGAGGGAACGTGGGGTAGCCTCGAAATATCCGCAGAACTACCCTGTAATGAAAAAAAGCCACTTGACAAAGTGGACGCAAATGCACTCGCTACAGCTCACCTTCCCTACAATAAAAACCACTTCTGAAATTCTTGCGCGAATTCTTCGTCCACGCTTACCGCAGTTGTAGAGGGTGAGAACCAATCAAAAACTGTACAACACAATAGCAAAAGTTTAGGCACAACACAAATCCCAGCCCTTCAAAATCTTGGCGTAAAATGAGTTGTACTGGCAAATTGCGAACAACATCCACTATTCGACGACTACGATATTTGTGGCTTCATGGGAATGACACGTGAAACTTTATCGTACGCGTCCAGATTGCTAGTCATTTTTTACGGAGGGTTTGGCATACTACTACAGCACCTCTGCTTTCTTTCCTTCCTTCAAAAGGCTTAGTCACAGAAAAGACAAAGTATGAGCTTTTCTGCCTAGCTCACGCGCTGGTTGACCACTGCCCCGTAACCACTGGGAAGATGCTACGCAGCGCAGAGCACTCAACGCTTTCGAAACCACGACAATTATTTCTATTTCAACTCATGCTCACTGCTTTCACAACAAAAAAGGTGCTATCTTAGTTGGGGTGGACCACGCGGTGGCGCGGCGCTCTGTTCGTCTGCTCCTCCAAGGCTTACCAGGAAGGTCTTTCAGGGCGTGCCAAGCTTTTTGAAAACGGTCTTTTGCATGATATAGGGGCACATGCGGGAACCACAGAACCATGGTTAATTTTTCCTGAACGGCCCTCTGAATACCAAAAGGGGTCCCTAGTTCGATTCCTCGTGGTGACAAATTTTTGCATTTCGAGTTGACGTTTCAAAATTCGCGCAAAATGGATCGTACTTATGAATATGGCATTCATTGTTTATGCTAACTCCATTTTGCGCGAATTTTGAACGTCAACTCGAAATGCAAAAATTTGTCACCACGAGGAATCGAACTAGGGACCCCTTTTCTGGTATTCAGAGGGCCGTTCAGGAAAAATTAAACATGGTTCTGTGGTTCCCGCATCTGCCCCTATATCATGCAAAAGACCGTTTTCAAAAAGCTTGTCACGCCCTGGAAGACCTTCCTGGTTAGTTCCAGGGACAGTTACTATTTCGTAATCAAGTGGTAGTTTCGAAATAAGCGCCATCGGGGACTGAGCCTTCGAGGAGCACACGAACTCAACGCCGCGCCGTCGCGGGGTCCTCCCCCCTACTAAGATAGGCCCCAAAAAGTTCACACACCTTGAGCTTCTGCTAGGATCAGCTACTGTGCCGCGGTGCCCACCCCTTCCCCCACCTTTTATGCGAATATTTAGTAATGGTTATTACTTTTCACCTACCCGACGTGTACTCCATCTCAGTTCGTGTCAAGGTCCTTCAAACTTGTGGACTTGGCAACTTACAGTGCGATGCTTTCGGGGAAAATGGTGTGGATTCCACAAACCGGGAGTTTCAATCACATTTCCTCGTTTTCTACTGTAAATAAACGCTCCCAATCAATACGTATCTTTCTCATTGTCTTCCGAATCCTAAAACGTGTGGACTGAGCGTTCTCATCAATCAGACTTCTTCATGAACGCACATGTCAACCTTACGTACGCCAAATTCGGCAGGAACGTCGGGAAGATCCCCGTTCCTGCCCCTTGCTGGGCGTGGTCCTAGAGGATGCCCCTCTTACGATAGCAACCCGTATTCTTTTTAGATATGCTTCTTCAAGGCTGAGGCTGTTGTTTTCAAATGTTGAAAATGAAACCGTTTTAGCGGAATTCTTGAAACTCAGGCATCACGAGAGTGCCATGTGCCATTCAGCCGTGCGCTTCGCCTCACTTTGAGGCGCATCGAAGAATTTGCAAAATTGCGTTCATACTAGGTTTTTGGACATAAGGGTAGGCTGTGAAAGAGTAGATTTATCGATTTGTCATTATAGACCCCACCCAACTGGGAAAGAACGAAACAGGTCACCCACCGCGAAACTCGTTCTTCCCTCCGTCCTCCTCATTGAGGTCCAGTACAAAGTGGGCATTTAATTCGCGCCCACAAAACCCACGTGACCCACTCAACTAGTTTTGCTCCATCAGAATATTCATGATTCTTTTTCCGGAATCCGATTTTCTAGAGGCATTGGCTAGAGCTAGAGGTAGCGTTCATACTTTGCGATTGTAGACGCGGTTTGGGGAAGATACAAAAAGAAAGTATACGTATCGATGGGGCAAATCGTTCCGTTGGGCGGAGCAAACCTCTCGAATAGTACGCCAGTCTAATCGCCACTCACCTAATCCGATACCGTGTCGTTTTTTTACAGACGATCGTTTATCGGCTAAGCACCGGAACTGATGACACTGCCTAACAAACTTCATCAAAAAAGGGTCTCAGGACATCTGTCAACCGTGAGCTTGGCGGTTCAGCGTTTTGTAGTGATGTCTGGGAGCTCTCACAAGTGCACACTATCACAGCATCTCCTCTTTCTTTATCTTCTTCAAAAGGCTTAGTCCCAATAAGACACAAAGTGTGTGCTTTTCCAGCTACGCTCTCACCCTTTGGTTGACAGAAGCCTTGTAACCAAAAATACAGCGGTCATGCAAACCTTTCATCAGAGCTTTTCATGCTGTTCCCTTCTTGAACTGAACACGTCTTTATTTCTTTTCAAAAAGCATTGCAGTACAGTGAACAGTTCTTATATTTCGAGCATACACTACATCAAAATGCAACGGCTCCGATGCTTCAATACACTTCAAGCTGGTGGTGGAGGAGGCGGATTTTCTCCAACTTGAATGTCCTCGTAATTGTTGTCACCACCCTGAACATGCTCTGCTCAGGATGCAAAATCGAATAATCGGAAAAAAATGGAAGTTGATTACATCGGTGGGAACTGGAATGGGTTTCGGTGCCGCCGCTGCCGGAGCGCCTGCTGGTGCTGGTGGTGCAGATTGGGTGGAAACAGTTCCACCAGCCGACTTGCGCGCTACCTCGCCACCGGTTGAGTTCTCTTGTTTCGCCTCTCCTGGAATGAGAAAGGAAGCACTGAGGCATACCTGCAGGTACCATACCTTGCTTCCAAATGATTAACGCGTTTGACTTACCTTTATTTTTCTTTGAGCCACAAAAAACAAGATGGCTTATTGCCAGAACTGCTACTAACTCAAATATGACTATCACAGTGAACTGAAAAGGTTATTGTGGGTGGTCGAAAAAGGCCAGAAAGGACTACTGATCTTACCAGCATTCCTGCAGAAGATACCGCACAGCGGAAGTCCTAGTATGAAACTGTGCCATACCGATCTTCATATGTTCTATACAATATCAATCGAGTAAACATTCGTTATCATGCTAACACAGATATTTCGAAAATGAGCTGCTCTCGGTTGTTCGCCCACTTTCTGCTAGTAAAGGCCGTACCGTAACGGGTAGCCCTTAGGCCGATGTCAGACTTTGCGAATCGCGCGATTCGCAAAGTCTGACATCGGCCTTATGGTGTTTGATCGATACATTTTTGGCGCCGATATACTTGGCGAGAAAGCACGGACGACAATAACGCCGATTTGAGGGTGCATTCATGGTCGGTCGACCGATCGTGACGCCCGTCACGTCGCACAGCGTTAAATACGTATCGATCGTCGAATTCTTGAACACGTCTGACGATCGATACGCATCCAATGCTGTGCGATCGTTGGGATCGGACGACCAACTGTGAATGAGCCTTGAGAGAATGAGTCCCGTAGAGGTGCGAATTACTTCTTCTAAAAACGGTTGTTGCGCCTTTAAATGCCCTG